CAAATGTATAAAGGCATGATTGCATATATATCACCTTTGGGTAGCAGCTGGTGGCTGATATTCAAAAAGATTGAAAAATCAAAGAGACACAAGAAGTCTTGAGATCTAAGACGAGGATATGCAAATTTGTGATTGGATGAAAAGTCTCTGAAGATTCAGGACTTGAACGTGGCTGTCACTAGCAGTGCAATCGTAATACGGCAGCATGTTTTAAGTGGATGCTCTCGAATCTACCAGTCTCGCTAATGAAAGGCCTTTCATGACGTCACGTCATTGTTGAAAATACAAGTCCTTCCATTCCACACGAAGCAACCAGGATTATATTAACTGCTGGATATTATTTTCCAAACTGAGCCAAAACAGTAACATATCCCTGAAACTGTACTGTTTGCCTCAAAACGTCTGTTGTGTTCCTGAAAGTGTATCGTAAATAAAATATTATCATGATGAAATAAAGGTCTACGAAGAAACCAAATTGTTTCGTGTGAACTTAGGCAGTATTTGGGCTTAGGATTAATTTTTGACTTTCAGCAGTGCCAGCATGTTTTCTGCTTTCCCTTTTCCAAAAAGAATACAACCTGTGCAGATAAAATAAACAATGCTGTTGATTTCACCTCTCATAACAATTGGCCATTATGCATGGTTCAAGAAAAGCAGTTTTTAAGTAAATAAATGATTAATGTAACTGTAGTTGTTGATGATATCAACTTTTAAATTGAGGGCAGTGGTGATGCAAAACCAGAAACAGTGATATTTTGAAGTATTTATGTATTATTAAAAAAGTTTATAGTTTAATTTTAGTTTTAGTCATTTATGTGCTTCGTCATTTTAATTAGTTTTTGATCAATTCTATTTAGCTTATTTTTTATTTCAGTTCTAGTATTACTAATATACTTAAACATGTCATACATATTTTAATTTTTTAATTGCCAAGGCAACATCTCTAATTTTCATTAAAATGTTAAAGTTTATATTTTTATCTTATATTTATATATTTTTTTTATTTCTGCTTTATTTAAGAAAATTATTTTTAGTTATTTTTGTTTAAGTAAACAATAACACTGATCTGGAAAATTTTCAGATTCTGTAAAAGTCATATAATTTGAAATGAATGACAAAAAAAAATACAAAAATACAAAAAAACGATGACTCTATGCAGGGGTCACCAACGTGGTGCCCACGGGTACCTGGTAGCCCGCATAGAGTCTCTGAGTCGCCCGCCAAGCACGTTCTATAAATAGCCTGAATTAGCGCCGGGCGATAAATGATATCATATCGAGATTATGATAATTATGATGATAAACTCTGAACATTTTTACTCAATATGGATTAATCCAACATCCTATCACACAACAGAAATCGATGTTACAGCAGCCAGTCAATGTATGTCGCTAATAAGTCTGTATTCTGTGTGTCTGTGTGTGAATGGATCATGGAATAGTTTCGTCTGATACACAAACTCAAACACACGTGACTCGCTGTGTTTTCAGCACCTGTGTCTCAATATATGAGGAAATGAACACATGAACTTCATCTCCAGAGCTGCTCTGAGAGTCACTTCACCAGCTATATGCAGTTTCATTTGAGAAAAATTACTGTCAAATACACGCTGGAACTAAAACTAAAACTGAAAGACCTTCACGACAATCCGTCAAAATAAAAGTCCGGTTTAACTTGAAATTATGACCGATTATATTACTACTCTATACTAAAATGCAATTCTCAAAGTAATAATAATAATATTTTTAGGGAATATCATGCAACCAAGTTATTTATTATTATTTATTTATACAGTTCTGTTTTGCAGTATCTTATCTGATAAAATGAAAATGCTTTTGTTATAAATTGATTTTCATTTGATTACATTTTAAAAGATTGGCTAAAT